CACAGTTCTTCAGAGTCAAGTGTGTCCTTGGCAGTGCTTTTTACAGTATGGTGGGGTTTATAAAAATCTTTTTGAAAGCTGTCAGAGTAAACAGACAGGATCCTGCATGCTCAGGTTGAATCTATTCAGGCTGCAAACCTGTGTGGGAGCTCCCTCTGCTTCCTGATAAGTTGCACTCATTAGTTTAATTAACCCTGACCTAAATACTGTGTTTGATGGTGGTAAATTATGCCTCTCAAGACTTTCCATCATAATTAAATATATTTATTTTTAAATTCTGTTATCTCCACTTGTTTGCGCAGAAACCAATGCCTTGTCCTTGCAGCCATGAAAATTAACATTATCAAATGGCCACAGGAGCCCATGTTACTCTAAATCAGGTGTAATTTTAAGGATACTACCTGGAATTTTTTTTTCAAATGAATTTATACTGACACAAAAACAGAGATGGGCTTTCAACAGCAGGCTTTCAAAAAATTTAAAAAAGCACAATGAAGGAGAAGAAAATAAACATCTACTAAATCTGAAGCAAAGGGTGATGTACATGGCTTAGAGCAGTGCTTCTCAAATAGTGGGGCGGGCCCCCTTTGGGGGGCGCGGTGCGATACCTGGGGGGGCGCGTGTGATCCTGGGGAACAGGCTTTTTTTTGGCCGTACTAGTATAAAGTGTAATTGCGCACAGTAGGCGGCAGTGGCGCTCTCATTGTTACTTCTGTCACGTTTGCGACAGTGCAACATTTTACGACTTACAAGACAACAGGTTTGCCTTGGTTGGCAGTGTTAAGTCAACAAAAGCTCCGACTGCGTTCTGTCTATGGCGTCCGTTATTCAACAACCCCCAACATGAAAAAGTTTTTAACAGGGATGAAAAGAAAAGCGGAGAGAGACAAAGATAATGAGACAACAGAAAGTCAACCGAAAGCTAAGAAGAGGAAATACGACGAATCTTATTTAGCGCTTGGCTTCACTGTGACTACAGTTGGAGAAGAGGAAAGACCGGTGTGTTTGCTGTGTCTAAAAATGCTCGCAGCGGACAGCATGAAGCCAAATAAATTAGCGCGTCACTTAAATACGTTACATCCCAATCACGGCGGTAAGCCGCTAGAGTTTTTTCAGCGAAAACGTGCTGAATATTGCCAACAGTCATCCCGCTTTGTGAAGGCTACTTCAGTAAACCATCGAGCGCTGCTAGCATCATATAAGGTGGCGTACCAAATTGCGCAGTGCAAAAAGCCCCACACCATAGCAGAGGAGCTGATATTGCCTGCAGCAGTAGACATGGATTTATTTATTTTTAATTTCAGGCATTGATGCACTTAAAATTTTCTGTTGCAGACTTAAAACACGATTTAATAAAGTTATTCTATGTAAGTTTGACCATATGTCTTTCTTTTTTTCTTTAATGTTAATGAAAAAATGTTATGCAGAGATGGATAGTCACGGTGGGGAGTGGGGGGCGCGAATAGTTTTCTTCTTGCTAGGGGGGGCGTAACGGAAAATAATTGAGAAGCACTGGCTTAGAGTGATGTTTAAACTTTTCTGTCTGGTTTGTTAGAGTGCAAATTCATCTCACAAAATGAAAAAAAAAAGACATATTCTGTACTCATAATCTGCAGTTGTTGCATAATTTTCCAGCACTTTGACACAGATGGTGCCTAGGAAGACTGAGAGCTAAAAAATGGGATTTCTTACTTCTTCCAGCTGGTGTAACCTAGAAATCAGACAATACCTTTCTTATATCTTGTCAGCAAGGTGATACCCACACATTTCTCGATGCTGCATATCAGGGTATTGAGTGACAGAATGCTTTGTTTAAAATTTTCTTACTTCTTTTTTGAATTTAGAAGATTACTGGGCCTTTAAGCCAATATTTCTCAATCCTGGTCCTCAGGAATCCCTTCCCTACATGTTTTAGGTGTATCCCTTCTGCCAGATACTTGGCTTTTTAACAGGCGTCTGTAGCACTTGCTAGCATGCAGAGGAGATAATGCAATCATTTGAATCAGGAGTGCAGATACATCTAAACATTTAAGGCAATTTATTGAAAGCCTAATAAAGTCATAGCCTTACAAGTTTCTCTTTATGACAGCGGAAAAAATTGGCAGCACACCTGTGGATTTATATTGAGGCACTGCATCCAAATATCTTAACTTTCAAAAGGCACTTTCTGTCATCTGATGAAGCTAAAGTTGAAATGTTGGCACACAATGGGCATTATTGTTTTTAGAAGAAAAAGGGTGAAGCTTGTAAACCGAGGAATACCATCCCAAATGTGAAGAACGCATTATGGTGTGTGGGTGCTTTGCTGCAGAAAGGAGTGGTGCATTTCAAAATCATGGGGAAGCTTCATGATGGGGGGAAAAAAATGTTGCGTGGAAACATCTTACATTATCAGCCAAAAGTTAAAGCTTGGATACATTTAATGGATAATGACTATCCCCAAATTAATTATAGGAGAGAAGAAAGTTGAAGTTTAGAGTGGCCATCACTTATTTTAGCAGTCAATTGAGTTTAAATCTAAACATGAATGAAGGAGAAGAGAAATAAATTTTTTTTAAATGTCTGATACATTGGTTTGTTTGATCTCATCAGAGGCATGTATTTGTGGAAACTTGTTGGGAGGAATTTGTCTTAATTATTAATAAAATAGGAAAGAAAACTCTGACGCTGCTTTGCAGAAGATAACATATTTCTAGTTGAACAGAGCAAAAGAATATCTGTCACTCCTTTCAGCTTCTGATCTTTTCTCTGCTCAGCAAAGATTTTACCCAAAAAGAAGATTAGGTCCTTCATTTTTTTCTCCCCCCTCCTGTTTAATAATTTTGCTGATGCGGCATTTGGGGTTTAATCTGATAATCAGTTCTCCGAGGACTTTCATACTCCCATGGACCCTCCTCTGCTCTCCTTTGCTGCTCCCGTGCTCCATGTTTCTCTCTCTGCTCCTCCTTCCTCCCTCTCGTAGTCAGCACATTCCCCTGCCAGCGAAGACAAAGAGCCTGGCTCTGGCTAATGCACCTGATTGATGGAATGGCACAGATCCAATAGAGCCCTGGCCTTCAATTAAGCCCCTCCTGGTCACCTGGCAACACCGTTAACGAAGTGTACCCTTCAATTAAGTCGCAGTGGTTACTCAGCAGAAGCCTGAGCCAATGAGGCGAGAGCGAAGGCTGGCGCCGCGTTGTTAACGCTCGCTTCAAGGCCTCAGACTCTCGCACCAGCTTTAATCACTCAGCCAGCCTTTAGTGCGACCAGTCTGTGCGTGATGATCGCTGTGCACACTCACGGCTCATTGAAAGTACTGGGTTACAACGCCTTTGATGTTAGAAGGTCTCTGGCTTGTTTATGAGGTGCTCAGGGTAACTCCCTCAAACAATACGAGCAACAGAGATTCCGATTTTATGACAAATTATCCAGGGGGATGCTTTGCTGTTTATGGAGAGGATGTTTTGATTGCTAAGCATTACTGCAGCTCTTTAAGAGGCCGGTGTGTGAAGGGATGGGTTTCTACTTAGCGAAGATGCATAATCTCCATAATGGTAACTATTAAAACAGAAGGGATGGCAGCAGGAGGAAAGGGGAATTAAAGAGAGAAAGAGCGAGGAAGAGTGAGAGGAGGAAGGAGGGAGAGAAAAAAATAATAATGACAGAGTGAGAGACAGAGCGAGTCCAGCCAGCGTTTTAGCACCCTAACGAGAGAGTAGGATGCTGCACGAGGGTGATAATTAGAGTGTCCTCACAGGATACAAGACTGAAGAGGCCCACACTTCTTCTGCCCCTGGCACATCTGCACTTCAGAGGACAAACTGCCCTAAGGAAGTTTTATTTAGTCTGCTTTGATGTCAGAGTTTTAAACCCCATGCTTTGACATCATCAGAAAAAGCAGACTGTCCACTAAAACTTTGCCTGCTGTCATCTTCAGGGATAAAACAAAAACAAAACTATAATGCAGTCAATAAAGAATTTACTGCAGATGCTGGTGGAGGTTGTCTGACTTTATGGTATTGAAAGCTGAACTGAAGTCTCAGTGTATGAACCCTAGGTGGCCGAGGTGGTGTAGCCTTGAAGTGTAGCCCCGAGTTGACTGCATCGTCTGTTGACTTTTTTTGCCTGGTAAGCAAATTTCTTTACCCTACACCCAGTGCAGGGTGAAGCAGGGAAACTTCATTCTTCAAATGCTCCAGCTTTAGCAGCTCTAAAGATTTCATGGCCACAGACTTTAGGGTGTGAGAGGTCTGTTACATTCAGACCTGTGATGGGGCGTTTCCTGGGAGCCAAGATGGTGGTAGGACACTTAAAGCAAAAGGAAACCTGATATAGCACCCGTTTACACAACAACTGGAGGCAAATGTTTTCATCTTTGTTTTTCATAATTGTTTGGTATGGCAAAACAAAAATACGCCCATTGTAGAACATTTATGCAGTCTGTGAAGATGCACCGATGGCATGCGCAAAATCAGATTTGCACCTCTGAACTTGTGTTAAGTCTTCTTCTGGTCTTTTAAGCATGTTGTGATCATTTTGTGTATATCATCAAAGTTTTATAATTTCCAGTGCTATTTGCATTTTTGAGACAACAAACGTATTTCTAAACGCATCTTTAAAAAGTCGTAGCATTGGGCGAGGTCATCACAGGATTGACTGATGGGCCCCTGTAGTCCTGCTTTTGTTTTCTTGTACTTTCATTTACAACAAATACTGATTTGGGGGATTTGATCATTGGAACAAGTAATTTCTTGAAAAAAATGCTAATATCCTACAGCCTTACACAAGATGCGACAAAAAAGTTGGAAGCTTTTCTAGGATTGTCCAGTATTCTCATACTCCATATAATATTAGTTATAAAGATACAGTCTTAGCCGGTCTGTCTAATGAATCAACAACTTGAGGGAAAATTATGTTTTTATGAGAGAAACTTCTGTTTTGGCTCTTAAAATGAGCAGGTACACTGCCTGGATCCATTTAAAAACTATATGGTGGAAAAAAATCAAACTGAGGAAGTGTTGACATCATCCATTTTTATTATTGGTACTTATAAATATTTAGTTTAGATACACTAATAAAATAGCTTGGAGAATTTTTATGACTTGACATTGTAAAAGCTTCCAAAAAATTGAGATACTTTCAAAAATTCAGGATCTACAAACCTGAGTCACAAAACAAAGAAAAAATAAATAAAAAATAAAAAATAAGAAAGAAATTGAGGGTCAACAAAAGATTTGGTAAGAGATGCTACACAGTAGCCAACAGACACAGTCGAGGTCCAGTCTTCAGCAAGGTGTAAAACCTTTTCCCTCCACCATCTGACTAATGATTGACAATGAAAAGTTTTCAATACACAACTGGCTTAAATAATTAAAACTCATCCAGCTTTTAAGATGAATTATTCACACAGGTTGTTGAAGTCTGGGTTCTTAAATAATTGAGAGGTGGATTGCAGATCTTTTATGGCAGTGCCTAATTTCTGAGACCAGCAAAAAGAGAGAACAGATTTTTATAAGCAGCAAATGCCCATTGAGCAAAAATAATGGGCATTTTTCACAGCGTTGTATTTGAGCCTAAATATACAATGTTAACAATGTACAGGGAAGAATCTGCACAAAATTAGAATGTTTTTGTTGCATGATAATTGCAAAATATATATTTAAAAAAAGAGCAATTGAAATGCATCACTAAAAGAGCCAAATATGACATGAGTGCCTGTGAAATGTGTCTGAAAACTTCTGGCCTTAACTGCATTTGTTATAATATCATCAACTTATCTTTCTCTGCGGACTCGTTCAACACATTTCAGTAACGATGTCCTGCGCCCATCGCACCTGAAAATGAGGAACAACGAAGTTACTTTTGGTTCTATAACGTATTATCCGCTTAGTGTGTCCCTTTCATGTCTGACTTAACCTCTCGTTCTTTTCTGCAACATGTCATGATGGAAAACAGAGGCACACTGGTCTCATTACTGGACAGAAGCAAGTAGTGAATGGATAATTCATCCACTAACAGATTGCAGATTTACTCCTACACAGATTTACAAAAGTTAATTAGCAGCCAAACACAGTCATTTATCATAGTGCCAAAGCTAAATGAATGAGAACATTTTTGATTTAGTGTTTGAGCAACAGTAAAAATGCTTGCAACGATTAGAAGCTACTTTTTTAACATTGAAATTAGATTTTATGGTGAACAAACTCATTGCAGACACATCTTTGTTTATTTCCTATTTATCCAGATTGTTTAACCTTCACCACAGCCACGAATATCGAATCTAATTGTCTTTCTTGCAAATGCAGATATGCTGCCACTCTAAAAAGAATAGTTAATCAAATATTGGCACAAAAAAGCCAACAAATCTTGACGGCACTAATATAAATAAAGCACAATGGATCTTTCCACTGTTTTGTAAAGCAGATACATAATTTAAAAACGCAAATTAAAATGGATTTCCCTGGCAAAGTGAGAACCTCTCGGGGTTCTTGTTCAACAGAAACTGCACAACTGTACATCGAGTGACAATGTGTTGCATGGAAACGCAGAAGGCAAGGGTTTATTGTAGTTGATTGTAGTCAAAGTCTTATCTTTGTGACCAACTTGTGACTACTCCAGTGAGTAGTCACTTGCTGGAGGGGTTGCAATTAAAGATACCAAAAAAAAAGTCAAGCTTAAAACTTGGCCATACAAAAGTTAAGGCAAATAGTAACTGCCTAATTATTAACCTGTCCAGGTGAAATCAGAGATATTGGCATTGAGATGGACAAAAACAAAAACACAGCTATCTCCTATTTTAAAATAGGAGATAGGCTATAAATAACTCTGTTATTTACAGCCTTGCAGCTGTAAATAACCAATTGTGATATCTAAGGGATGAATGTTAGCAGGAAGCTATATTCAGTGGGGTGGTTGTTTATCAAAGTCAGCTTTAAACCATACCAGGCAAACAGCTGTGCTGCCAGGCCTCCATCAGCAAGCAACACTCAGCTCAGTGCATCCTTACTCAATCAGCTATTTGCTTCCTGTGCCATCCTCTGTAACAAGTAGTCTATCATTTTTCATGCTTTGTTTCCTGGAGCAAAAAAGTGTCTGCAATTTAGAAAACAAAAAATTAGAAATGCCAGTGGTCAATATTTGTACTCGATTTATTTCATACCCTCCATAGCTATTCCTTTTTTTTTTTTTTTGCTTTTAAAGGTCTTACGAGGACGATATTTGCAGATAGAAGGGGACTTGTACATTTCCAATCTCTAATAAAAGCTACATTCTTAACCTTTCAAACAAGTCTGCAAAATCTGCCACAAACTGTTGAGAGGGTGGGTGTAGAAGTTGTGATTTCACAGAGGTTTTTAAACTGGCTGAGGGATAAGGCAACATGTTCTGTTACAAATTCGTTTTATCTGTGAAGTCTATTAATGTTGGACACTCGGCTGTAGAGCTGTAACTGACTGAATTAGAAGACAATTAAAGAAAAGAAATGAACCAAAGATCAGCTCACATCTTTCCAGTTTCTGAAGTCGTTTTAATATCATGTGTGTTAATCACTAGCTTTGTTGAATTGAAGTCAGCAGGATGCAGAGTTCTTCTTAACCGATGTCTGGCATCAATCGGACCAAAGTGCAGCCAAGAATATATCCAAATTTCTGCGGTAATTTTCAGGCAACACTTGAGCTTCAGAGGCTCAGAGCATTTTGACTGTGATCAAAGAAACATGTCTGCAAAAACTGATGTCTGTAGGAGAGCCAAGTAGCGAATCCACTTCAAACTAGTCTGAAATCCTCATTTGGGTTCACACTTTCCTGAAAATAATTAACACTCCTGCACCTGAGGACCTTATCTGGGATGAAAATATGGAAAAGCAACTGTTCAGTGACTGTTCATGGGGGGGCTCCATGAGGTGGGGAATATGTTTCTCTTCCAAAGGAATGTTGCTAAAGAAAAATCAGGAGGCCGATACCATGAATCTGAAAATGGGTTTTCATTTGGTCATTCAGCTGCATAATGTTCCGCAAGGAAGGAGAAACAAAGTTCACTCTGAAATTATATTACCGAGATAAAATGAGCTCCTCTGACATTTTACCCAGGGTGCCAATAAGTGATGAAAGTGCTGCAAAATAAAAAGTTTAACTTTCATTTTTAAGTGTAACTTCTTTCTTGGCTGTGGCCAGTTTTGAAAGGAAGTTGGGGCCTTAATAAAATTTTTTGTTTTTCTGAAATCCTTATGAATTCAGGTCTTTGCTGCCCAGTTTCCAATTGAGTTGGTCTTCATTATCATGACAGGGTTACCCAGATGTTTCACAAAGTTGCATCAAATCTTAAAGTCCTTGTCTCTGACCACATGTGTGTGGTCCCTGCAGGTAGCCTAGTTTTGAAACACACTACAAAACCTCTGAGGGGGCAGAGTTTCTATCATGCTGTGAGTTTAAATCACTCTGTCGTTGCTCAGCATTCCACGTTGTCTGGCTTTTTGTGATACAGACAGACTTTAGAGCTTCTTTGATGTCTTCAATCAAACGTCAAACAGGACGATAATGACCAATGACTGCCTTCCGTGTTTGATTTGTGCAAAAACATCAGCTGCTTTGTGTTCTAGCAAGTTTTCTGCTCAGACCCCCAACTATCATACACCTTGTCTTGTTGATTCTGCGAAGAGACAGATGGGATTTCAGGCACCATCTCAAACTGACAGGGACCCGGAATAAGAAAGCAAGCTCACTCCTGCAATAAACAGTCTGCTTCCATGGTTTCATGAGCCTTTCCCCTTGAAGAACAAACCATAATGTATCTCATTTTAATGGCAGGCTTCATGGCTTTCACAGCATCTGTGAGTGTCTCCTTGCTCATTTCATCGGTAGAAAAAGGTTAAGTTACTGATGGTTCGATCATGATTGAAGCATGTTTATTCTTGTCCAGTTTCTGGATAAAAACTCGTCTAGAGTTAATTTTTTGTTTTGTTTTGAGGAAAAGCCCACCTCTGTTTGGGCTCTAGTAGTTTCTTTATGTGCGTCATAACTCCATCCTGACAGAGTTCACTGCGGTAGGACAGTCAAAATGTTTGTGATGGTCCATTTCTGACCAGTGCAGTCCTGAATGGCCAGCTGAAAGGTGAACGCTGACTGCTTGCTCTCCACCAGCTCCAGACAACGCTGAGACTCAATGTTCTGGATGGCTCCCCCCTGCAGAAAAAGGAAAAAAAAAAAAACAAGATGAAGGAATGCAGACATTAGTTTGGCACCTAAATAAATAATCTACCACCGACCCACTTGTAACGAACGTTTTCAGCTTTCTCTAATACCCTTCTGTTCTTGGAAGCAAACATGTTTAACTCTGTAAACATGAGCAGCCCCATTTTTAATGTTGACTGGAGAACATTTTTCAGTTGCATTTATGTCCAGCCCATTTACATTTACATGGATGGAGGTTATCAAATGTCCTTGTCAACCATTAGATACGTAAAAAGACAGAACTTCATGTTTTGTGTTTTACAGTTTTTATAACAGAACATAATGAGACATCGTCTGATTGTCAGAAGGGCTATAAAGTAAACACTATGACATAAAAACATTAAACACAATATAGCTGTAATGTTCATTTGGCACAAACTAATAAAAATGACAAAAACCACATGTGAAAAAACCACAGTGGTTCAATAGAAATGAGGAGGGCAAGTATGTTTTAATAGAATGCATTGATTAACTTAGAAACAGCAAATAGTAGTGCTTCTATAAAAACAGATATTTTTCAAGCTTGAAGCTCTGAAGCACACAGGAGAGAGCAGGAGCTGAACTAGGATCAGACTTGATAAGTGTTTTTTTTTATTAGGTCAAAACAAAAAACCTTAAAGGCACAGTTGCTTAAAAACCATTTTTACCAAATCCATGTCAAGCTTTAAGATTTCTGAATTACAACATACTAAAGTTGGATGTTGCCTGGAGGGAGAATGATACAGAATGTCAATGTCTGATGAAGACAACATGAAGTGCTTTTGATAATCCGGGAGCAAGAGAATAGTGTTCAAATGAAAGAAACACATATGTGATCAAGCTAAGGCAGATTATGATGAAACATCATTAGCTGATTAATTGGGTGCACTCTTTCACAGGAAAATATGAGCATGCACAGCGTCACCTGTCATAGCTGCAGGCTTGCACATCGACTCACTTTCACTCCTGATTACAAGTGAAGAGATCGCTAATAAAACTTGAGACCCAGACCACAAATCAAGTCTCAAGTCCTGAAGCGCAAATGGAGTCCAGATCAAATACATGTCATTTTTGGTAATGACATGTATTCACATTTTACTGTATATTTCCTCATACAGAGAAATCTTGCATAACCATTTCAACCAGCTGTCTCTTTTCAGAAATGTAAGCTTTATTCTACCGGTACAGCAGGGGTCCAAAAACTGAAACCTGTCACTCTGGAACCACATGTGACTCTTTTGCCCCTATGTTGGGGCTATTATAAATCCCCAACATAAATGTTTTTAATTCTAAAGGCAATAAGAAAGGGCAGTTTTTCCTGTATATTTTTATATGTATAGAATACCTCCAACCACCAATGGCACAAGGCTTTTCAAAGTAAAATGTTATGTCTTCAAACTTTGTGGTTTATACTCTTAAGGTTACCTAAGATGCTGGCAGTCTCTTTTACCATCCATCATTGGATTGTTTTGGTTGAGAGCAGTTTATTCTACTCTCACATAAAAAATATAGAAACATACAAAACAATATGATGTATCTGACTGCATGTGTATGCAAATGATGTTTGTGCAATAGCAGCTGGGTGCAAATACATGCACTATTAACCCTCCTCTACGCAAATATTTTTTAAAATTGTTTTTAAAAGTCCACAAACGTGGCTGGTCTTGTACCATGATTTTATTTTTATTTTTTTAATAACCCTTAGATTTAAATTTTGGTAATGACATGTATTCACATTTTACTGCTCAGAGGTACATTGCAAATATTATAACACATTTCAAAATCAGCAAGGGTACAGAAACACTTTAAACCACAGGGAGCAGAATAACATGAGCACAGTTAGAGCTGTGCTCTAACACTGAAGTAAACACCTGCTTATATAATGTTAATTAATCTGATTAAGCAAACAACCACGTACCAATATGACACATCATGCATTACTAAATAAACCTTATAATTGGTAAATGGCTGTGAATGGATCTACATCAATGGGTGATGTTCATCCTGCTATTAACCTTGTCATTAACCACACAATTAACACTTAACTTTTGGGATCTTTTCCAGCAGGCAGCACACCAGCTGCTAAATATGTGCTGTGAAAAATAGGTAGCTGTCAGCCATAGCCAACATTCATTTGACCTTGTGTTTGAAATTTCACAGCTTGTGATCACAAATTAATGCCAGTTTACAACTGCAGAACAAGGAAGGACAGGAGGCCAAAGTGCCGCCGCTCTGCTGGTTTAAGTTCTGAGAGGTGCCTCACTCTTCAAGAACTTGAGCTAAATGCTGAGTGAAACATATATTTAATATTTATATTAATATATTATATTTATGCTAAATATTTATTATGCGAAATAAAGTTTTTGCATAATTAAAATAAGCAAAATCTAAACTGTAAGCTTGAGCTGCATGTGTTTTTTGCAGACAACATTTTGCTATGAAGCCCCTATGACACTCCGATGCAACCAAACGCTTAATGAAATTAAGTTCACCTGTGTGCAAAGTGTCACATCGCTCCCAAACTGGCAACTGTTTAAAATGCTTCCTGCTCTTGAATACTCTCTCTCTCTCTGTAGTGTGATGAACTTCAACAAATTGTTTTGAAATGGTTATTGAAGACTTTACTAGATTGATCAGAAGGAACAAATTGTAAGGCTGTTCATCTTTCCACCTTAGCATTGTGCTAGCACTCACCTGTTGGATCATCATCAGTGTGACCACTTCAAGATAAATAAGGAGTTTTGGTGCTTTGCTGCTCTAGTCCAGTTAATTAATGCACTCGATCAGGAGATCAAAGCTGCTATTTTCCACTTAAATCCTATGAAAGCACCAAGGAGGTACTTAAAACTTTTTATTATTGGTTTTTAAATGACTGCATGTCACTCTAAGGTTGGAATTTCATTTCTTTTGGTTGTCCATTCATTTTAAAGCAATTTTATCAACAACTCGCTTATTTCAGCGTCACAGATTTTTAGTTTTGTCACAGTTCCTCTAGTTTCCGCTAGACAGTTAGACAGTTTCCCATAGTTTCCCATTGAACTAGAGGAGTTCAATGGGCTCCGGAAAATAAGTGGACTTTACTGATTGAGCCAGTTAAATTTTGGCATATGAGTAAACACAAATAATTGTTATTCGTATTGAATCTCAAATTCTTCAAAACTGTTTGGTCCCATCAATTGTTATCTTTAGTGACATCATTGCAAGCTTAATGTTTATATGACACCAAACATTTGTTTGACTTATTGGCATTAAGATGATTGACAATAATTAAGGTGATGTAGTGTCAAAAACGCTGACTAAATATGCTGCTGAGTACTTTAATGTTATGTAGTGTAATTGCAGCTATAGCTTAACACAATATGCCTTTGAATGAGGACTGTGCTTTCACTTAATATGAGCCTGTTTCTCTCCCCTACGGGTATGCATGTGTGTTACATTTTATTCTCTTCAACAACAGGCTGGAAACCAAAGTAGGTCCTTCGTTTTTTTGGCACAAACAGTAATATGCTTTAATGAGCTTGGGCCTCGTGAGAAAGAAAACGAAACTCATTTGTGTCAAACTCGCTGTGGTGTTCACGAAAGATGCTTTCCATTAAAAGCAGTATGCTTTAAAAATCTCACCCACGTCCAAGGAAACAAAAACAACAACACACACACGCAATAGAATGACCATCAGTGTGAGCCCAGAAAATGAGCACACAGCAGTTTTCCCCCCTGAGAGTCTCCATGTGAACATCAAATTCTGGGACAAAACATGAAATTGTTTATGAGTGAAGTGTTCTTCTCTTGATGGGAATAGTTATTTCTGCACAAATCATTTTACGCACTGCAACTGCTGTGAATATGTTATGTCATAATCTGGTCCTTTTCATTTAAATATTGGTATAAGCAGTGCTTCAGATGGAACAGGGCTCTCAGCTGGGGAGAAACGCACACACCTACCACTTTGTTGATGCTTTTGCCTGCAATTTAAAAGGAAAATGTACATGTCAGAGATCCCTGACATTGTGTTAAAAGTTAGAATAACAGGAGAATAGCAGGGGGCAACAGGATCAGCCCCAAAAAAGTTGATTTGATGATCTTAGTAAACATTATGGATAAAACACTTACAAGTTTGAATAGTTATGAGAAAGTGTCCTATTTAAAATGCTTTTGCTTACTGCAGAACTTTAAAATAATATTTTTTGTTTGTCAGTGAAAGCCAATACCTCTGGCTTTCATTTATATAGTAACTCTGCAGGGAAGATGAGTTTTTCTGAAATATTCAAAAGGAATAACTTATCCAAATCTGTGGCTGCAGCTCATATAGTTGTACATTACTGTGACTTGTACGAAGTAAATTCAAGCTTTAGGACGTCGGTGTGTTTTTTAACCAATCCACTCAGAGAGATCCATAAAACACAGATATTGGGACTTGTGTTTGTGATTCTTTCTGACCGGATTATTATTTTTGTGCAAAATGGCATGCCCAAAAGGGGCTGCAAAGTCCCTTCATCAGCACTTTCTTGAGCAGCTGATAAAATTATGAAAGTAGAACCTGCTGAGTCATTCTCCAGAGTAAAACCGAAATGGATGGAGAAAGCTCTCAAATGTCCCTCATTTATAAGGAAACTTCATTAACTGAGATATCTGTGCTCTCACAGGTGTTGGCATTATTCCAATGGTCGTGGAGACTCTAAAGACCGTATGGTGATCTTGCTCAACTTCTTCACTATAAGATTATAAGGCTTCAGTTCATTGTCAGTAATGTCACATCAGTTATTGCACAAAAACTTCTGTGAACTTTGCTTAGGATTAGGCAAAGAACCACCTCAGGCTGAGGTCATTGTTTTCCCTCATCAATGTGCCAGCATGACGCCTTTTATGGTCAATTTATTAACAAGGTCACAGGCTCAGAAAATCACAGTTATTAAATTTGCTGCTTGAAATGGCTTTCTTAATAAAACATGCTGTGTTGAATGGTGGCTGATTGT